CAACCCTTGATGAAGCCCACACGAGTGCCGTGCTAAGAGCAAAAACCCAAGGATAGAAATTACACAACTTCACAAAAACTAGACAATAGAATAGTTGAAAAATGTTGCCTGGTCTGATGAGTCTAGGTTTCTGCTGCAGCATTTGGATGGTAGGGCTAGAATCTGGCATTAACAACATGAGAGCATCGATCCATCAGTGGTATCAATGGTTCCAGCTGCTGGTGGTTTAATGGTGTTAGGGATATCGTCTTGAACTTGAACCCCTTAGAAATGAAGTGAGCATCACTTGTTGAGCATCACTTGTATCCCTCAGCCTGAGTAATGTTACCCAGTAATCGCTTTTTCACAGTGTACTCGTCTTCTAATGGCTGTTTCCAGCAGGATAACGTGCTCAGGTCATCTTAAACTGGTTTCTTGAACGTGATCATTAGTTCACTGCACTCACCAGCCTCCACAGTTACCAGATCTCTACCTACTGGACCACCTTTGGCATGTGATGAAACAGGAGATTCACATCACCAATCTGCAGCAATTGTGTGATGTTGTCATGTCAACGTGGACCAAAATTCCTGAGGAGCATCTTTAACATAAAAAGTTAAGGCAGTTCTGAGAGCAAAAGGGGATCCAACCCATTATAAGTAAACTTGGCGTACAGTACTCTTTTATATCCTATAGATGTATGTATGCAATATATACATTTTCTGACAACACAAGGGATTATTTGCATCATCAATAACTAATCTGAGCTAGAAAATGCAATTTTTAAGAGCCTATTGTTACCGTGTGTTGCCTTTGAGATCACTACCAAGTTGCTTTTTTTATTTTAACCAGCACTTCAGAATAGAAACATATTCCATGAACACTGTGAATCATATAAGATTACAACATTTTCCGAAAAAACGTTTTATTTATCCAATAACTGATTAATTATTATATTATATTGTTATTATAGTGCTCATAGTAAGTTTTCCCTCAAAGTCTTTGAAAAATAGTTACAAATGCTGTATTATTATCAAGATAAAATAGTACGAATAATAGTAAGTGTAACATTTGGGTCAAAACAGACGTTTAAAATGTTTGCTGAAGGTAGCAGCGTGAAAAAAAAAAGTGTTGCTGACTTTCGGCATGAACAGAACACAATGAAGCTGTTAATGTTCCACTTGAGAACACTTTAACAGCCACTGATAATGGAGGGGTTAGCAGATGCATCGACGTCAGCTATCCTGAACTAAGAGCAGCAGTGTACACCATTAGCGAAAATGAGTCATAAAAGCTGTGGAAAGCCTGATAAAGCCACCGTTAGGAGCCTGCAGCTCACACTGAAGAAATCAAACAGTGCAGAGAAAAATTAATATCTAGAGACGTGAAAGAACAGAGAATATAATCAATGAGCTAGGTGGGGTTTTTTTTTGACATCGCTCACTGGCCATATTATGGGATTAGGGGTGTTGATTTGAAAATGTTATTTGTGCAGTATGAATGAACTTTACTTTCCTAGTTAGCATTTTAAACTACTAGAGTTTTGAGTATTTTGCTCCCTCTCTTTGGTCCACGCATATCCATAAATGCACACTGCAGGTAAGTACTGGTGAAAAGCTTGTGAAGCTAATACTAATGCTAGTTTGTTGCTATCAAAGACAGGTCGCGGCTGCGGCTACTTACGAAACATAGATAACATAAATCTATCTTTCCTTCTGTTCCTTAGTTGTGGTGGAGTGTTTTATGGGGTAGTGAAGGTGAACTTTGACCTTTTGGTTTTTAAACATTATTATTTTATCATTTT